AATGACTCTATTTCTAAATTTCTGTAACAAAATCTTAGTAATGTTGCATATACTTCGGTTCGATTTATTCCTTCATATAACAGTTAAAACATCTAAAGCAGGTATCTTAATTATATACAGACCGCGGTGTTCGAGGATTTACAAGCACTTTAAGAAGCAAGATCTCGCAATAGCAGATATTTTCAGTTCCACATATTCGACGTGTTGCAGAACTTAATCTGGTTGCTAGTTACTTATTGAGTTATAAGTTACAGACTGGGTAACGCAACGAAAACGAATGATTCGTGTAGCCGATCGCGATAAATATCTCGAGAAACGAATAATCGAGAATCGTTCTCTAACCATGAGACTTTTCCCGTGACATTTATTATTATTTCCTTCGTGCCAGATCGGTCGCTGGTATTCAAAGACTGTCAAGAAAATAAGATATCGTTAAGGCGCACCGGTAACGTTCGAACCGTTGCGTTGCGTTGGCTGGAAGTGCCAGTGAAAGGTGTTATTACGAATAATTTCCTTCGCTTGGAAAGAACACGCAACGCGTTTCGCAGTGCAACAAATTGATTTTATCTGTATCTAGAACGCAGTTCGTGTACCTACCGTTTATTATTAATTTTCCAAACAAATACTATTTAACCCTTAAGAAGGCAAATCATCGAAACGGAGATAATATAAATTTTAGTTTATTTTCGGTTAATTTTTATTTTATTTTCCGGTTAAATGTATAAACAAGAAGATATCACCAATTTCAAATTAGTTTGTTTCATCGATAAATTGCAATATTTGCTTAAGCGTAACGTAACATTACACCTACATTGTACAAATATTATATTATCCCTGTTAAAGGTATCCAATCTGTTCGCACCATAAACAGTTTCAACTCACCCTGATCCCTGGGTAGCTAGAACGGCTAAATTGCAGCCGGTAAGCGTCTCCTCGGGAAACATAAAGTCCAGCTTCGGTGAAATCGTCGCGAAACCGGCTTCCTGCCCGCCGCTGGACGACCACACCTTCGTAGAGCTTCTAAGTATATTATAATTCCTCGTGGCCAATGGTCGAGTTATAAATCTTTAATACCGTTAACACAGCCGAGGTTCACTTCCGTTTATGAATTTCATCAAGACGTACTTTATTCTATTATAGATAAAATGAAATCTTTCGCTCGATGCATCGATCCGATGCTTCAACAAAATTACCACTCTGTTCTGTATAAATTATCATAATTTTTCAAAATGTTTACAATCGTGGTTCTCGTCTGATTGGCACGGTTTGCCGATGATTAAAAGCCACAAAAATCAGTCCGAAAATTCGCCAACTTTATATTTGCGGAACGTGTCTCGTGGATCTTGGGGTGAAAAGAGCTCATTGCCTCGCTACGTGACACAAAATTCCCCGTCGATATGACGAGACGACGCGACGCGACGCGACGCTTTTACGTGGCGCCACAACGTAAGGTACGACTCGTCCTGACGAAGTACCAAGCAATACTGAAAGCTGACAGTTTCGAAACTGGATTCGAGGACCTCTCGGGATATATTCGACGAGTCGAACTCGGTGTTGTTATTATGGAAAACGGCTGAACGAGGGTAATAAATTCGAGCTGCTACTGGCATAGAAATAAAACCATTAAATTTTACTGAATTTATTTCTCTTATAATAACATTTAATTGGTGATCCTCGAATTTCATAATTTTATTTTTCAGTATCTCCTGAATAAATATCAATTCTTAACAAGTTTATTATGTAACGATAAAACCAGTGAAATGTTGTAATTAAAAACATGAAAATTAATTAATATTGCAAATATTATGGAATCTGAATATTCAATTCTTAAATAAAATATTTTCGTCATAAAGTTGGTTTCCATTTAATTTTCGATTCGTGATTAAAAAAGATAGAAAATAACGAGAGAAGATGTTTTGAAAGTACTGTTCGCAATGCAGTTTATTGAGAAATGCATTAGTTTCCCTTAAAAAGCTGACTGGGGGTAATTAAAGTTGCTAACAAAACGGCTAATTAAAATTTCCATTACTCCCAATGAATCCACCTTGATTACATCTCACTAGAGGTGAACCTTAATAGATTGGTCGATTCAAATTCCTCGCTTTTAGTGAGGCAAAGTCCCTACTATTCTATTACTATACTATAATAACTGCTAGTTTACTGTACACATTTAATTAAAGTATAACTATTGAAATTTTCTTAATGAAATATACGAAATTGATAGTGTTAGACGCGATAATCCCTTCTCCTTTCGTCAAGCTGATATTCTCAAAGACGAAGAGAATAAGAATTCCTTGGCGTTGCTGTGTAAACTTATTTAGTGCTTAGAAAATCCTTTCGTACACAGCGTCAAATAATGAAACGTCGCGTTGATTCAGCCTTTTCGTGTCGAAGAACCGAACGACTGGATATCGCAAAAATCAAGCCAGCCTTGGTTGCTTTTCGCGTGCTGAATCACGATGAGCTTTTCACGTGGATCCAACAAGGGAACGAGCTTTTCCGAGCATCGATAGGACAGCGTGGCGCTGTTATTCCTCCTGATCCTGAATACGATCCGCTCCCTTTTACCAAGAAAGAAGGGGAATAGAATTTCTGTGGCCAGACTATGGGGTGACAATGCGACGAAAGATTGATGTTGCTTCCACTGAAAGAACCTGTCTCCGAACGGTTGTATGTCAGAGCTACGGTAATTGCGTTTGTTACTTAATTAAGTCTGACAGGTAATATAATATTATTTTACAAAGACACTTTTCTGAAAAATGTCGTTCATTATTTGCAATGTTAAGCGGGTAATTATGTAAAGTAAAATCTATTTGACATATTTAAATGATTCTAAGAAGCAATTAATTTTCTAAGAAACAATTAATTATTTTATTCAATACTTTCCAAAAATAAGAAGCATATAAAATTTTCACCATCTCGTTAGTTCGAATAGTCGATATCGATTACTAGATATAATCGTTTAATCGAGAACTCGCAACGTCTCCATGTACGTTGTTATCGGTGTTCAATTCCTCGATGGTCACTCGCCTCTAAACACTGTTCGTGTCCAGTAGCTTATGTCCGATGATCAGACGAGTAGCGATCCTTTGAACGTGTTACAGCTACGGATCCCATTGCAATTACACAAAAGCGAGGATCTACTCAATTCCTCGATCACGTGAGAACGGTGTAATTGGAGTATCAATTATTCTTCAAGTTAACCCTCTTCCATTGTCTCATTTTATATCTCTGAGATAGTAAAGAGAGCGAACTATGATTTTCTATGATTAGTACTTAAAACTCTTTCAATTTTCCAACTATCCCTAATCTCCTTCATAATTGAAAACGATTAAATTCTGAAAAAATCAAATACAGGTTTAATTTTCCTTGCAATAATTGAAACGACTATTAGAAAAATCCTTTATCACGTTCGATCGATAGATTTACAATTACCGCATAAGAAAATTAACGAAAGGATTAATCGTTTCCTCGTCTAAAACAAGATCGAAAGTTCCAAGTTTCCCCAACGTCGGTTGACCGCGTTGAAATTCCAGCAATTACGTCGACTGAAAGTTTCGACCACCGTGGTTGTAAGGGTGGCCACAAGCGATCCTCCCCGTTCCTACTTCGTACGCGCGCGGCTGTGTCTGTGTAAGAATACGATGAACGAGACGGGTCTTTTCAGTCGCATCGTTGAAAATGCCAGTGGAATAGCAAAGTGCCGTAAGTCTGATGAAGTTGTTCGGTAACAGGTGAAGATTCGATCCTATATAACCACTTTGAGGAAATTTTAGGAGGTTTCACGCGCCCTCCAAGACCTCGTACAACCTCTTTCGAGTACGGTCACGTACCGAGGTCGCTTGGTAGCTCGATTTTTCAGTGTCCTGTTCTCCTGAGAAATTACATTCTCCATTATGGAAACATTGACCGTACCGGGGAGTCTTGTTAGGAGATTACGAAAGCGTCTTTACTCGGTAAAAGGCAGTTTCGTTCGAACGAGGAATCGAGGAGAGGGTGAATCGTTTGCTATTCACTCTCCTCCCGTCGTGTTTATGCTCGATCTCTCTACTTCAGATGCTACCCGTTTTCAACCTGCACCGTAGAAACTTCCTCGCTTAATAATTATTTAGCTTCTCGCTTGTTTTGAAAGCTACGCCAAAACTACAGGGATAGAATTCAAACACCGCGCCCTGTAAACCGTACCTTTCGCTTGAATAATTTTCAAAATAATTATGGTTCTAATAGTTACCGGTCTATCATCCATATCAGATATTATTTCTCGGCAATGTTAAACTAACGAAAGGTTAGTTTTTGTTGTTGGTAAAACGTATTCGTTAGTTGGTACATAACTTTCAACCTATAACTTCGTACGATCGATGAATTCTAGATTGAAGATTAATTTGTCGATTAAACAACCGGCAGACCAACGAACCAACATGCGGTTCCACGCGAAACGATGTGTGCAAAGTTAACGAAAGGTGATGAGAAAGTCAAGATTAACCCATATGTCGGTTAATTAGTTGAATTCCGTTTATCAACGCGCGTGCCGAGCTTCGAACCGTTTCTCTTCATTCTTCCTCCGGAGAAGTCTTACACATTGAGCGGAAACGGGGGTAAAAGAATTTTACGGGCGTTAATTAGTCGTAGAAGTAATTAAAAACTCGGTTACTTCCAAGCCGTCTGTCAAAGATTAACTTTGGCTCATTCAATAAATGTCCTCTGGTGAAACTTTCTCTTCTTCTTCCTCGTTTCTCTCTTTTTCCTCTACTTTTTTTTACCTACTTGTTCGCCCTAACGAGAGAAGCCAGAGTGAAAAGAGCCTCGTAGCTGCCACGAGATAAATTTAATTACTCATTCGAACATCTTTATTAGCGTAATTTTATGGAATGCCCGGGTAATCGTATCGAATTCGTTCCAATTTCACAATTTATCGATTAATATTTTCAACAGTTTTGAAATATCCAGTTCGGTGAGATAATATTAATTAACGAAATATACGAAGGATTGATTCTACTCACCGATTCTGATGACCGGCGGCAGCGACATGGCAGTGGTGACCAAGATGACAATGATGGCGAACAACAGTGCCATTGTGTCGGTCGTGACCTCAACTCGCACCTGACTATGACATCGTTCTTGCGTACTTCTGTCACGGGACAGAATGCTATACAAGGCGAGAAGGGATACGTAAATACACGAAACTCGAACGTTCACGGACACTTTGCCACGGTGTTACACATTTTCAGGTCCTCGTCGTGCGGGTCGATGAAAATCTTCAAGAAATCGTCATTGTCCGCGCCTGAAAACATACAAATCAACCTGAAAATATTACAAATTTTTCATAAATATTAAAATATTTCCACACTCTATGTTACCGCGTAACAAAAGAGCCGAAAACAATTAAACATCGCGTGTCCATTTGTGTCGCAAATCATCAAATTAAGGGTCGCAAAGAAATTGTCATTTAGGCATAATCACTTCCAGTTAATTGTAACTAGGGTAATATAATTTATTAGTCGAACGTGTTGTCGGTCGAAGTTAGTCGATTAGTACAGCTAAAAAATAATAAAGACCGCTAGTCGACAATGCCAGAACTCAGGCAAAACGAACTCGTTGTAAAAAAATATTCTGTCGCGATTGTTAGAACGCACACACGTTTATTATTCGGAAACGACTTAGGATACTAATCATCGGGCAGTGAATTTGGGAAAGTCCAAATTAGTTTATTACCGGCAGCGTCAGCTATCTGCGTTTACCAAAATTCTAACGCTACTCCACGCCGAGTATTTTCCTTGTCCTCCAATTTCCTTAAGAGCCGGCACTAAAACGCGCGTGAAAACTGACCACTCACAAATTCTTGCGACCAATCAGAAGTCAGTGAAAATCACCCCCAGTTTCCAAAAACATCCAATCAGTATCACTGTTAGAAAACCTCACCATCAAAAAAAGTTTACCTTATAAGCAAAATTATAGAGAAGACTCAGATTAAGAAACATATTCAAACACTACACATTACATTTAACTACTTGTCCGAACAAATATCTTAAATTGCCAAAATTAGCTTAGTAAGCCCTGTAATTATTCAAATATATTAAAATCGTGTTATACAATTTAGTCTGACCCTTTTTACTCTCGCATCAACACTCTAATTATAATATCAAACAAGTACAATCTTCTAATTACATCGTAATTCACCGAAGCTTTTCCCATGGATCCGATATAAAATCCCAACAAACTTTATCGCGCTATCGTGTTTTCCCAGTCGATGCCGCTTTGCGATATTAAAACCATCAAAAGCAAGCGTGGAAATTTGGTGAAACGTGAAAGCACGTCCGACATTCTCATTAAAACATCAATCGTTGAAAACTGTCGGCCATGTTTCAATACCCGCTACGTACACAGTTTCCATCATTATCCGAAGATAGGAGGAAGGTAGTCAGATCGAATGCACATCATCACCTATCCGCTATAATTTCGCGGACATCGCGAATGGACTTTACGTCCATCTTCTGCGTGTGTACAAGTTGTCGGTGAGAGCTAATGGACGCCATCAGTTTAATGGAAACCCTTCGACCGTGCATGGTCTTGCACATAAATCACTTGGGGTGGAATTCTCACCGCGAAAAACGAGGCGACCATCGGAAACGATGTAAGATAGTGTTCGCGTACGGACGCGAAACGATCCAGACGTGGTATTGCTTCGGAGAATTATTTGATTCTGTACAGGGAAAGATTGCTATTTCGTTCGTGAAACAGTTAGCAACGAAAAAGAATTCCGCGCCAACAATTTCACCTTTTTAACCGCGAAACGAATGGAAACGAGGTGGTTTTTCACGAGGTTCAAATTTAGAGTAATTATATGAGATTTGAAGGGTAAAAATTATGTAAAATGTAGGGTACACTCAATTTTACATTTAATATAATTCAAATGGTTAATTAAAGATTAATGAACTTTAGATTTCTACTTTAATTCTGAACGACGCTCGATGGGATTTCGTGGAATTATTTATTTTAGGGATGCCGCTATGTAATTACGTAAATTTCGGCCGAATCTAGGTTGTCAGCAAAAATCTTGCTGGCTACGATCAAAGTTGATCGATAGAAAGGTAGAAGGTATAAAAGGGGCTCTCAAGCGACGTACGAGTTCGGTGTCGATGCCACATGCAGCTCACGCTTCCGCTATTAGAGTTAACGTAAACGGATTTAAGCTAACCCAATTTACCAAGGGGTAACTTTACCCCTAGCTCGTGTTTGTTCGTCGTTTCTCCTCGGCCTGCCTTAAGCGCGCTGCTTGATTACGTAGTCGTGTCCCTGTTACACGATTCTTTTTCTCCTTTATTTTTCGTCGGTTACCATGTCGCGGATACCCACTTCCTCTCCTCTTTATTCGAACTCCACCCCACGATCTTTGCCGGGCATCGCGAAACGTTCATCAGTTTTACGATCCACCCTGATCCATCGATGCTATTTCCTTCCAGGAAACTGTCTTTCAGGATGAGACTCTGGAAATGGTATTCTACTGGACCTGGATTACGATCCATGATACTCGTAAGTGCTGGAATTGATTATTTATAGAAGTTTTATATTTCTATCCGTTCCATTTCGCTTCTCTGTACAATAGTTAAATTGATTCGAGTATGAAACTTTGGAGAGCAAGTACAACCATTATCGTATTATTATTTTCATTCTTGGAAATGTATATTCTACTAACGAAATTTTTGATGTTATAGATAATTACTAGGGTATTATATTTAGTGAATTTGGTTAATGATGGTTAAGGCTTTTGTATAATTAAATCAAGTATTAATTATCAATATCACTGCATCTTTGGATCGCTAATGAAGCTAACAATGATAGTGATTTCTACTTCGACACAGCTTAAGTTCAAAAGCTTCAAATATTTTCTTTCTTTTTAAATTGTTATTCGAGTTATTTATTCAATGATTTAATTTATTTTCGTTGTTTCTCATTGAAAATTCTGGGTGAAATAATAATCGATACTAACGACTGGAGTTGCAGCCACGAAATATGATTGTAACTCATGCGATCGTGCACGTTACCTGGTTACCGCTAATGAATTAATGACGGAGAGGGTGTTAGATTCAATGGGGAAACGGAACTATTGAATGGAACCCCTTGTTTTCGCTCCACGGCCGTATTTATGAGCCTTGAATAGAACCGAGTGTCGTGAACATTATTTACCTCCATTTCTTGCTGAAAAGTTTGAACAGCTTGCAATCTCAATTGAAATAGTGGAAATATCGAAGCTTAAACAATTTTGAAACTTTGGAAATCTGTATCGCAGTGCGTGCGATGATACAACTGAATCGAATTACATAACTTCTTTCGAACGTTTCTTCCATTTCACGAAGATTGCATACTTCGAACATAAAAAGGTGAAATAGACCGAACGGAAAGAAATCTTCATGAATTTGAAAAAAAGAAAACATTCCATCTTCGTCCATGTTTGACCTACGTAATCCATTTTATAACAAGCTCTAAAATACGAAACATTTTTCAAAATTACGTTAAAGTGAAAGGACAAAATTGAACGGAATCGTAGTCGCAAGAAACAACCAATTTCCTTGTTTACGTCAGTCAACGGAGGATATTTTTCTCCCTCGACGAATTCCAATCCTCGTTTCTTACAACCTTGCAAGTATTACGAGACAGAATACATCGTGATAGTACGTCCATTTGGAAAGAATGAGTTCTATAGATGAGTTCTATAGATGATTTCATTTATAATTATCCTCCACTCAAGTAACTAGAAATTTTTTCAATATCCATTAATGAAAAGAAATTTTTAGCAAAATTTCATCAAAATCAGAAGCAGACCGTGTAACAAACTTTTCCGGCGAAACTTTGAAGAATATTTTCTTACAGGACCCAGCTTTACACCCGAAACTCTTAAACGGTATTAACCGTTCCTCTGCAAAGTTCGCGAAGAAAAAGTGTACGTCCCTATGATAGATCGCGATAAAAAAAAAAAAAGAAAAAAAATTTAAACGGGGAATAGAGGACAGCATTGTTAAAAACGTAGTTACAGTAGCACTGTAATCGTTATTCTTCGGGGTGTCTCGTCCCCAGCGAAACCCACTTTGCTTGCGTGGAAGCCTGAGAAATCGGCTTGTTCGCCGACAGAGAAAGAGAGACAGTGGGATAGAGATAAAGTTGGTCAGGTTAAAAAGTCGACGTTCCATCGCGTGGCTCTCTTGATACAAATCGAACGGACATGGAATTGCGATCACCAAATGTCCTGTACTCTTTGTAGTCTCCACTATTCGTGGACGAAAAACGAACGACGGTCTGGTTTAATTAAATCGATCGGCACTCGTCGCCAACTTGCGAACATAGTAGCGGGTGAATCGTGCAATAGAACCACGCTTGTATCACCAGGTATTCGAACAAAACGAATCGGAACACCGATCTCGGGTAATTTGAAAACTAATTTCTTGCGGTTAGAATTCGCGTAATTCACTGTGGAATGGAACTGATCGATGCATGTGGAGAAATATTTTGTAGAAATCCAGTTGGTAAGGAAAGAAAATGATTTTCCATGTTTATAAAGAGTACAATAACGTAGTCAATGGATATTCGATAATATTCTGTAGCAATTATTTGTAATAAAGTTAATCCTTATACGTAATACGGTTCGATGAGCGTTCAGTTGATAGCTGATTGGAAACGAATCGGTATTCCACTCGTATCTCTGTAAACCGTACTCGAACCGTGAACACCGCTAATTCCGGTAATCGTTCGCTTGAAAACTCGCTAATCACCGTCTGTCAGGTGTAACTCACCGTTCGACACTCGGATTAGTCATTGAACGGTTGGAAAATATTGCTGGAACACTGTGGAACCGTCTTTGGATGCGTGCCAGACAGACCATCGTTCTTCCCTTGTTCATAAATTACCGCGAAAAACTTCCTTCCCCGGTCACTGTATCTCTTAAGCTGCGTACACATCGAGCGAATGAGCAGAACACATAGGATACTGTACACAAAAGCATCTGATGATGATTGAAACACAACACGTGTGTATCCTGTCGGCAATTTGATGGAGATGATCAATGACAATTAAACCTTCCAAAGAAATTCATCACAGATTTATTATTAGAACCATCGTGTTGGTCGCCATATTTCTTTTTTATTTTAATTTTTTTAAACTTGTGCTTGTTGACCGAGCCTGGACAAAGCTGAACGAATAAAGAAATGCTAACTTGATTAAATAATTCCTGAGGATATGAACGCACAGCAAACGTCAGCTCGAACAGAATGGAACTTTTGTTCTCGCTTGCTCGTTTATTGTATACCCTGCTTTATATACTCACCACGTTTCCTTTTTATCCGACGAATATCTGGGAACATTCACGGACCGGGAAAAAGGAAAACGAGTTCCTTAGATACGCGTCACTCCGTCTCTTTCACTGGAACCACCCCGTCGTCATTTGGAACACCAGAACACTATAGTTCACCGCACGATGCTTGTCCTCCGTAGCATGCTTTCCACACCCAACATCCACTCGAATCTTCACAGTGGAACGTATCACTTTTTTAAAATGATAGGCTACGTTCGATAATTATTCCCATCGAATAAGTTAATTACACCGCTCGTTACGGTGCCCACTATTCATCGACAATGTTCAACCTTACATAACCATTACGCGACATTATCTCGTCCGAGCTCTCATTAACCCGTGACCCGTCATCATACTACGACACCGGAAACTCGCGTTCGATCGTCGACCTCTTCGCGTTCGAAACGAATCGAAGGAAACACACGTGGAAAATTTTCTTTGGATAAAGATTAGCTGTTCCTTTTAGAAAGAAATTTCATCATGTCCTCATGATCAACCCTTTCAATTCTTTATACACTATAAAAACGTCTGAACAATCCGTACTTCCAGTTTCGTTAATTATAAATACTGGTTATAACATCCCGACAGTAGTGTGACCCGGTTAATTAAAGAGGGTTGGTAAAATTTTTCACTAGGTCGATCCCGTCTATGGACACTGTCAGATCACTGTTCGATTATTTGGAAGAAAGGATAGGGATCCGCGAAGAGGACGTCCGGTTTCTCTTGAAACGAGCACGCGATCGAGAACACCTTCCCGTTATTCGTACGCGCGGTCCGACAATCGCGAAAGACGCGCGGCCACTGGCTGCGCCAGGACGATCTACCACCCCCGGACACGAGTGCGCGGAACGCGGCACCAGAGGGTGGTGGATGGCTTTCGAGGGTTGCTCGTGCGATAGAGAGAGAATACGTGTTAGAGAATAGGAAGGAGAAAGGGGAAAAGGTAGGGGATGAAGTCGCGCACGCAACGGGCGGAATCTTTGGCTCGTATCCTTCTCTATTTTGGGGGCCGAAAACAGGCTGATAGGGAACCGGCAAAGTCAAGCCCGTTATCTGGGTTACTGGACCCTCCTGGCGCCGACCATGACCAGGATAATGTTTTATGTGAACTGGTACCGTGTGTTTCGAGGCGAGACTGAAACGAGTTTTTGGGGGGTGCCATTGAGAAGAGGGTTAATAACGATCGTACATACGATTGAAAATATTATAGAGAAAATACGTAGCCGTTATATCGATGATATCGAATATCTGAGGGAAACTTGTTACCTATACGACGTTGAGGAAAAAAGGCATGCCACGTGCAAGGCAACAGGGGTTGGTATCAGAGCAACAAAAAGAACTTCTAACGTTCTTGGCTGTCCAGAATTTCAAAGGTAAAACGTACACCATAAAACGAGGACAAGAACAGGCGAACGTGGGTCGTACAGGTATAACCTTCTCCTCGGGGAATTTTAAAAAGTTATTCACTCGTACTGTGCAGAGATGGAAAGAATAATAGCGAAAGGAATGCGGGTACGATTGGTCGTAGTCGGTAAGTACACGCATCACGCGCATGCGTTCTAGATCATTTTTTTTTTTAATATCTCCAATTGTAAGTTTAATTTTGTATTCAAGACTGTATAGTTTCTTAGTTTCCTTATTATTTTGTGTTTGAATTTCAGAATGAAACTTTAAATATAAGAGATTTTTATAACGTATATGATAACATTAATAATAAAATTGATCTATATGTGTGACAACTACCCCAAGCTCGAGGTACATTGTCACAAAATAATTACTACGGATAATGTGAATTAATTCACAATCTTATTGATAATATTCATAAAACTAATTTTTTTTATAAACTTAGCCGTACCTAGTTTATATTAAACTAGTAAAAAATAAAAATAAAAAAATGTGACAACCATACCCGGTCTCCTCTAATCTTAACGATAAATAAAAAATCCATGCTTGCAATTTATGCAGATTCTCATCCCTTCGCTTTCGTCTATGACTTTAATCTGTTATTCTAATTTTAATGACACTCCTCAACAATGACATCGAATAGAAGGTGGGTGGATGTTCGATCGAAGCCGAACCATGAAGCCAGGCAAAAGAGAGGAGTAGGGCGTCCAGTCAGCCGTTACAAGAAAACAAGACAGGCTGAGAGATAGGTGGCGCGCGAATCGTCGCCTTATTCCCGGCACAACCCCCCTGGAGAACCGAAGATACCATACAGAGAAGCAAAGTCGCTTTATCTGGGTTAGTGGACGTCGACCCTGACCACTTCCTACGCAAAGAGGATTGAAATAAACTCGCATTTATCAAGCGTTTCGCCGTTACGTAACGCAACGTAACTCGGTGCTCATCGGTCATCACGGGATCCTGGCAAAGATTTCATTTCTAATACGTCAGCTCACGGACTCGGCTTCTCTTCTGTATCTCTCCGCGGCTATAGCCAGCTCAATTTCACGACTAACTTCCTGGAAGAGGATGATAAAGTTTCGCTTCCGACACCAGACGAAAACCGACCCGCTTCGGTCCATCCGTGAGGGTTCCAAAGTTTTCACTGGGGTGCTACGAGTTAGTAAGAATATGTCGACGATTTTCGGGATTCATTTAACCCTCGGCTCATAAAATTTCATTTTACATTCTGTATTAAGGATTCTCGGAAATCGTTCACCGAATAGGAGATTGATTCGGTCCCATTAATGAATTAAAAGAAAATTCTCTTTCATAACTCTTTGGTTCTTTTTCTTCTGCATCGGAATCAGCGACGCGGAACGTGGATTTCTCGATACATTTATCACTGTTGCAATTTGATCTTCAAGGAAACATTCGGATCTGATGGACATTAAAAGAGTTTCTGATTCAAGCGAAAGTTGATTCGTTAATCAATATTCCTTGAAACGTCTACGGGGTTAGATTTTGTCCAATCGTCACGAATCTACTTCTTCCTTCTGCGGGAAGACAAAACACTTTGGCCAGGGCCCAAGAAAACCGCTGACACATTTCCACGGATAATGTAACTTTATTTTGCATGGGAATTCGCGTGCCAGTCTCGACAGCGTGTAAACGAGGCACCATCTCTGGCTGCATATAGAATCATCGATTTCATATAAATTCTTTCCTTGCATCGAGTACATTTTATTGCCTCTTAAAAATTTCATTCTGGCTAACAAATTAAATCGTAGATTTATTTAAAATTCATTTTTCCCGTGTATTCATTCGCAGAAGAACGAAAAGAGTAAATCAAATTTATTAAAAAGACCTCTTGCTTTTGTTTTTTCTACACTATGGCGTTCTCGTAGCCGATATAGAAAACCAAAATAATTCTGCTTCTCGAGGGTTGTTTGTTGAACATGCAGTCCCTTGTCCAGCAAGAGCACAAGACAAAGCGGATATAATCCCGTACGACCTCTAATATCATTTTGCCGCGAAGGAACTAGCGAATAACAAGCGAGTAATTCCATTACGTCGTATTTACTGTACGTGAGGGAGGCTCGTTTTTATTATTTACCATTCTGCTTTTGCGATGTTGTTCGTCCGCTTGTGCAAGCAAATGAATAATCGAAGAGAAAAAGGGTAGCGACACTGCAAAACGCGTTGTTTGGTCGTTCATATTTACACCGTCGTGGAATTCGTGGCAAAAACGATCTAGTTTTTTCATCCTATCAATTCCATCCAAACAAAATAAAATGTACATGCTATTGGAAAATAAAAAAAGGTTCACAGTTATTTCACGGCACGCTCGATTCCATTTTTTTTCTCGTCTTGCACTACTATCGGGAGCTGCGTTGAATTAATCACTGTTTTATTTTTAAATTCATCAACTATGGAAAATTCGCGAGCTGTGTATGTTTTTGAATATAAACTTTGCTAGGAAATTATTAGGAAATGAAGAGTGATCAATTTTAACCCATTATAACTTATCCGGCCAAAAATTAAAAAAAAAAATTTGGCAATTAATGGGTTAATGAAAAATCTGTGAACTCTTCCTTAGAGTTAAATAGATTCCACATAAACCTACAAAGGATACGTTAAAGAAAAATCTATCTCCGTGAAATGAAATTTTAGGCAAGAATGACGCGTCACTTCCATTTGTCTGTCATTTCGAATACAAGACCGCTCTGAATCGTCGAGTGTACACCGGTGGTGCGAAGCGATAGAAGCTGCTTTCAACGATGAAACAAAACCGTGCCAAAACGTATCCATCGTTGGCTGAAATATTTCGTCTCTCCGCAGAGATTGTTCCTTCCTTGGAGGAACAAGCGTCGCATAAATCACGAATCGAAGAGGAGACACTCGGTACGCGACGCTTTTTCCAGCGATCGCTCGCAAAAGAGGATATCATCGACGAGCCGCTGGCGAAAAAAAAAAAATAAAAAAGGAAGGAGAAAAAAACAGCGAGGAAAACACGTATCGCAGCGAATCGATTTCTTTCTTCGTTTTTTCCACGCAATCAAGCCGCTCCAGTTTTGACGACACAGCCTACGCTTTTCTTTATCCTCTGAAGGTTTCCCGGTTATTTTTTCTTTTTTCTCTCTTTACGAATACACGCTGTCTATCATGTTTGCTATTACTCTTTCGTCGCTGTTTTTTCCACTCCTCTTCTTTTTTTTCTGTCGATTTTTGAAAGCGTTAATATCGGTGGCGAGGTTGATTCCTGACGGTGATTTCGTAGGGATTGACAGTGTCGAAGCGACAGGAAGTCGATCGTTCTGTAATATCAGGCAGAAACCATTGGGGAAATATCGATTCTCTTGGAATATTTGTTCGACGATATCACGCAGAAGGTTTCATATTAATAAACGAGCTTTTTTTCCTCGTAAAAAGGTGTCACAAGCGTAATTCACTGATCCCTGCGTATCGCTGGCCCGATAAAAGAACGAAACAGTTAGGAGTGAAAATATTTCGGCACGAGTATCGTGATTTCATAAATACCAGCATTATCTCCGGGCACGAATCCGCCATTATTTGTCACGCTCGATGTCGAATCAGTTGAAATTGTTCGTTTCGTAAAATCGTTTTTGTGTATCGGATAAAAGTGTCGCGTACCATTGAAACAAAGACGTAATTTTAAACGTTAATGTTTCATTAGCATTAATATTTCGCTTCCTCTCTGAATTCACGTAAATTAACCCCCCCTTAGGTTCTGTGTACCGAAATTGAGGCCTCGGTTATTCGCGTCTATATTCAAACCCATTGTTCAGAAAAGCTCGTGCGATTATATTGATTGCCGATGTTTTGGAACCATGCCAAAACCTTTGATATTCTCACCAAGTGTACGGACGACTATCATCCCCTTTTGTTTCGCACGGATCTTACTATAATATTGTTATTTATAGAAGTTCAGGTAGCACATTTTCAAAAGGTCTTTAAGGAAGATTTTCTTCGTTAGATTTCGTTGCACCTGGTTCGATGCGGTTTCGCCTGGTGAATTTATGTGCGAAGAGGTCAGAGGCTTCTTCTCATTCTGTCATTAGCAGCGTCATTAATTAAGTTGGCAAAAACGAGGTACACTAACGGCTGGGTAGTCTAAAGGAACGGATATTAGGGTTGTAGGTCAGTTGGAAGAATTACAGCATAACGACTTTCGTTTTTTCATCATCTACTGCTAATTATCACCCTTACCTTTTTAAATTCTCGTAATTACACTGTCTCAGATCATGAACAATATTATGGTTATTGAATAAATGGTTTTCATAGTCATTTCGTACAAATGACACAAGAAATTTTTATTAACGTAATTAAAGTTTCTCTTGAATGCATCCGATACACTTGAAGAATGCATTCAGTGACTAAAGATG